ATCGGTCAGTCTCCTCTTGGCAGAAGCCCTGTGTTTCAGACAGGTGAGCATGTAGAAAAACATATCACATCTAGCTCTTGATCATTCTTTTGGGATCTATTGCTCAGGTCATCATGCTAAACTTTCTCAACATTTATCAAAGACAGCTTCTTTTCAGAGAACCTCTGGCTGCTCCATCCCTGAAAGTGTTCAAGGCGAGTTGGATGGGGCTTGGAGCAACCTGGTGTCATGAAAAGTTTGCCTGCCTGTGGCAGGGGGGTGGATTGAGATGGTCTTTAAGTCCTTTGCAACCCAAACCTTTCTGTGATTCTATGATTCTTTCCTAGGCTGCCTATGAGATAATGCACAAAAAGCAGACATGATGTAAGAAACATTCTGTTCCTTTGTCTGCTTTTTACTGCCTCTACCTTGACAATATGATATCTGCACTGTAGTTACCCCATCTTTTACATGAGGCAGAAGAAATGAAACAATTGCCCCAAAAAGGGAAGAAAATTCTGTTTGCCAGGAAAACACTATTGGCATTTTTTATTTGTCATCTCCATATTCTCCAACACATTATTCTAAAATAAACCCAACAAAAAGCTCTGCCCCCACCAAGCTTTCCAAAATAAGTAAACAAAACTCATTAGGCAAACAAACAAACAAAACCCCAAAAGAAAACCACAAGCAAATAATCCTTAAACAAAAAGATTGAGGCAATTTCAGAGATCCCACTTTGTGACTGATGGAGAGAACCAATGAGATCAAAATGAGTAATTACATAGGATAATAAAACTTTATTTCTGTTACATCCTGATAAGCACCATAATGACTGCCTTGGCCAAGTGCAACTGGCTTTAATTCTCCGTTCCTTTCTCTGTAGAGTCTGTTCCAACTCCACTGTCACCTGCTGCCAGCCAGGTCAGCCCATTGCTCTGTGGAAGCTTGGAAGAAGAATCTCCCTTCCCTTCCTTTGCCCAGGTAAACCATGTAGCAGAGTGAATCTTGTCAGAATTACCTGTGTCTTAGTTGGGGATTAGGCTGAGACTTACAATTGCTTCCCCTGCGAAAATAATGTGGGATAAATCTTAGGGAGACATCATAAGGTTTGAGTGCTTGAAGGGGTTTCTAGATTTTCTTGCCACTTAGTGGGGGCTGCAGGTTTGTTCAAGAATGTGGAATTCAATCATATCCTACAACTGTTTTCATAGATGTTAAGAGTTGGAAAGGCAAAACCAGAAACGTGGCCTAAACCTGCTCCAAAGACAAGAGGTAAGAACATTTGGTATTAGTACTTCACGTTCTTTACCATGGACCTAAATGTGAGAAATCTTGTAACTTCAAAATAAGGATCTGGAGTGTGGAGGGGCATTTGTGTGGTGAAAGTTTTATACAGTCTTCAGCACATCCTTCCCTCTTTCAGATGAGAACACTCTGGCACTCCCTGTGCCTGGAGACAGTGATGGAGAAAGTGACAGCTCTGACCGGATACCTGTGCCCAGCTTCCAGAATTCCTTCAGCCAAGCTATTGAGGCAGCTCTCCTGAAACTGGACAAACCGTCCACAGCTGACCATTTATCAGGTAAAGGGCAGGAAAACTTTCTGAAGTGAAAAAATTGAGTATTTCCCTTTCCTCTGCGAGAAGTGAAAGCAGCAATTTTGGGGACCAAAAATTGGCCAGAGAACAGTTTTGAAAATCGTCAGGTTGTGGTTTCTGAACAGCTTGACTAGGACTTCTGTCAGCTTAAAGCAGCCTCTTAGTGGGAACTGAGATCTCCAGCTAGCAATGAATCCTGTTAGGACAAAGATGGCTTTTGACAATCAGGTTGGCCATGTCTCTGCTGGAATCTAAATGAAGCTTTATCATAAGGAAGTTCAGGTTATACATTTCTAAACTAAAAATACCTGAGCTGCAGAACTACCACTTCAGTTTGACCAAAATGTCAAGGTAAGTGCTAGCTGAAATTTCAAAATAGGAAATGTGAAACAAATTGAAGTGAACTTAAACCTGGTGCTGGCTGGTGAAACTTATTTTTAATGCTCAGTTCTGATGTTTAGCTTTGGCTTCGGTTTGGAGACTGCACTGGATGATGAGAGAGTTGGCTGGGAGGGCCTGGGAGTTTCAGTGGAGGGTCTGCTCCAGATGTGGTTTTTTTGGACATGTGTCAAGGTGATACTTGCTGTAAAGGCAAAAACTGCTGGATGCTGCAGTCCTAGGATCTGCTTTTGCAACAGCAACTTTACAATCATGTAGGCATGTTTATAATAGTATTTCAGGTGTGATGGAGTCTCCCTTAGTTCATCTGCAGTAATTTTTTTGTTAAACCACCTGGTGTTCAGTGAATTGTAGTAAGTGTTGTGGATCTGTAGAAGTCACTTAAGCCAGGGAAGACCATTTATCATTTCTGTGTGATGTTCTTCTTCCATTATAAGAATGACAGTATCATTTTAATTCTTCACAGAGGAAAAGGGAGGCAAGAAAAGAAAGAAACAGAAGCAGAAGCTATTGTTCAGCACCTCTGTTGTTCACACAAAGTGATTCTGCTATTCAAGAGAAGTTTTCTCTCCTGGTTTTCTTTTAATTTTGCTTTGTTTTGCTGCTATAGTTTAAGTATTTAAATTTGAACAGCCTAAACTTGTTTTTCCAGGACTTCTAGGAGCTTCAGGAGGAAACCATGACAATATATGTTGAAGTAACATGTTTTGATTCCAACTGCTTAATGGATTTATACTGAAACAGAGTTTTGGAAGTAACAACCCAGATACAAATCTGCCAAGGCTTCTAATTGCTGAGTCAATCCTTTGGGCCTGATAAGCATTGTGAAAAGTCCTTATAGCTGTGTGGCACTGCCAAAGTACTGCAATATTATCCAAGAAAAAAGGTAGAGAGCCTTTATTTTCCTGTAGTTATTCATGGGCAGAAGTCCAGCTGACTGACAGTGGTGCTGTCGCAGTAAAGCTGTCAAACTGCTCTCTTGAGAAACTGGTTTTGGCTGCACTGGATACAGGCAAAACAGCTTATTGGCTTTAGAGTGTTAGCTGCTATATCTGTTCTTTTTCTAAAGAAAGAGCAAGGATTCCTCCTGTTCTCCTGGCTTGGAAAGATACAAAGCTGAAGTGAGTGTAAAGCAGAACTTGGCTACTTGGTTTTAAAGTGGCTTCATGATTTTTGTATTTCAAAATGGCACTAGTGGTAGAAGGAACCTCCTGACTTCTCTCAGTTGTTCAGGTCTGTTTTAATGTGGGTGAGTGAGGCTGCTACTTTTTGTTTGTTTTTTCCCAACCATGGGCTACTGATTCTTTATAACCTGATCATCTAGAATAAACACTCCCCTCTAGGGCTCCTGGTAACCTTCTGAATTATGGTTGGACACTGGCTGCTCTTGAGTTGGAAGAACAACTGATAGCTGAAGTCTGTAGATAACTTTTACACCCCAGCAAGAAACTGGGGTTCTCTTGTACTGGGGTAAGAGCCTGTATGTCCTTGGTTCTGGGATTTAAGTTGATCTGTGCTATGAACATGTCTCTTCTGGACCCTTCCCTGCTCTGTCTTTGGGTGGTCACATTCTGCACTGCTTGTGGTTTGATTTGAGCTACTGAGTCAAGTGGTTTGGATTTTGTTGAATAAAACAAATTTTAGGTGTAACATACCAGTCAAGCCCAACAGTTGCAATAAATCATACACACACACACACACACACACATTTAAAGTGCTGCAGCTGAACTGTCATAGCAGCATGGAGCCCTAGAACACTGCACAGGTTCAAATTTTACCTTCCTGCTGGCAGAATTAATTGCAGGGCACTGGTAAAAAGTACTACTGAAATTAGGGAGGGAGATTGAGAGTGTCTTCTGTTGTCTTCAGCTTCAGTGTGCTCTGTCCCTCTGACACTGACCTGAGCAGGGAAGTGTGTGTCTGAGGCAACCTGGAGTCAGGTATTCCAACACCACTGGCACTCAGTGGTTGTGTCCCTGTTTAAAAAGCTGATGTCAGTACATGGGTGCTTGATTTCAGAGCCACAGGCTCCACAATGTGTGCCTCATGGGAAGCTGGTCCAAAGAGTTGATCACATGTGGCTGTAAATCAGAAAGAACAGGAGGAGGGGGAGGTAAAGACTACTTCCAACTGCTACAGGAAGATAGAGGAAACACCTGCAGGACATTCTTTGAAAGCAGCTTGACTTCACGCTTGGTCACAACTAACCCCACTCAATGAAAGACAGTACAGCTTGTCAGGGGACTGCAAAGAAACTAAGACAAGATACCTGGCAGTGGTAACACGTCTTGTTGTCAATACTTTAAACAATTAGTGAGGGCAAAGAACACAATTTAGAGATTCAAATATGCAGTGAACTGTCTTTACAGCAAGTTGTTTGAAGCTAAGGAACAGGAGTAACTACTTAAGTGTCTAACCAGTATCTGTTGTGTTCTGTTATCTCTGCACATTTATAGTCAACTTTTCTTTGCATTGGGAAGACGGAATAGCTGGAGCTGGTGTAACTCACCTCCACATGTCACAGGCACTAGGATAAGGGAAGTGATGCAGGCAAGGCAGGCTGTCCCTGCTGCAGGGGCAGACCCCACAGGGACAGCATCTTCAATTGTATCTTGTTTTCCTATGGATTCGAGATAATACCAGCAATGCTACTTTCCTGTAACTGATTGGTGTAAACTTAATAAATATCTAAGCAGTACTTGTACCTATGAGTTTTATAATGGGGGGGATGGAGTTGAGCCTTGCAGCTCTGCCATACATTCCATGTACTCACTGCTCCTGTGTACACAACTGGTGCTTTTCTCACTCAAAACAGTGGACAGCCCTGTGGCTAACAGTGCACTTAAAGTAAAAAGCAGATGTTAATGCTTTTTGTATGCTGAAGGAGAAGAACTACATTCCTTGTCTGTACCAGATGCCTAAAGCTCCCTTCTACCTCAGCATGAAGAACACATTGAGCTGCCTCACTCCTCAGGAGTGCAAGTGGTTTTGACTCCTGGAGTGAAACAGGCAAGTAGCCTACTTAAGGGAAATAATATTTTATTTTTTAAAAGTTTGTTTAAAAACATTTGGAATGGGGAATGAAGTCTAAATATGAACAAATGCTTTTCCAGTCCCATGCACTGTTTAACACTGAAGATAACCAGTCACGTCTTGATTAAACAAGTACAGAATAGAGATGAACGGTAACAAGTGACATTCAGTCTGTCTCTGTGTCATCATCCTCCTCCTCATCTCCACTTTGAGACTGCTCTTCTGTAAGGGAACAGCTCAGCAAGGACTTCTGTATACATTGTCTTTCCTCTGCAATAAAGAAAACAACAGAGGGTTATTACTTGATCTCTTCACATATGCTGGACTGTCCTCCCTTTCTAAAGACAGAAACATTTCTCAGGCCAAGAATTTAGAAGTAGCCCAGCATATCGTACAAAAGCCCCAGGAATTGAGGCTACATTTTAGGAAAGTGGCTGGAGAAACTCACCTTCATTTGTACAGTTTTGCAACAACCTCAGCAGTTGTGTTCTGTTATACTGAATCAGGAATTTCTGACATGTTCTTATGGTACCTGTTGAAGTCACAAGAACAGCCTGTAATAATCTACACAGCCAAAGAGCATTGTATCAAGTGATAAATGACCCAGGAAACAAGGTTGTTAATGCAAATGCCACAAAGGGGCTGTAGATTTCATTTCTGCACTACTGAGGTTAAGTGGTGGAGTAAAAATTTCTAACATGCAGTGTCTGTTGGTTTCCCTGGGGGTAAATTTTCACAATACAGAAGATACCATAACTTTGAAAATAGATTTTAAAATAATGTAACATTGTATTTGCTGCCCTGGTTTTGTGATAAATGTAATGATGATGCTTCAAACAAAATTAACGAGGGTTTCAAAAAAGAACTGCTGGTGCCTGTTTCTTATTTAGATCTGCTGAAAGCAGTCGCTATTAGTAACACACGAGAAATGTCTATCGCACCCAGAGCAGCACCACGGCGTCGTGGCAGGTATGATTAAAGCTCCGTCCTCCCGCCAGGCCCGGGGGGCTCCTGACCTCCGACGTGCAGGGTGTTGAGGAAGCAGGGGTAGCGCTGGGCGCGGCTCTCCAGGTACCGCACGAAGGGCAGCGCGGAGCACAGCAGCCGGTACGAGTCCTTGCGGCAGCGCAGCAGCACCGTGCCGGTGTACGCGTTCAGGTACTTCACTGCGGGACACACGCACGGGTGAGCGGAGCCGGAGCGACCCCGCAGCCCCGGGGCCGCCCGTCTCGCCCGCACCTGTGAAGGAGATGGAGCAGCACGCCAGGCCGTAGTCCCCGTGCACCCGCGCGATGGCGTCTCTGACGGCGAGGCCCAGCGCGCGGTCCTCGATGCACTGCCGGCACCGCGGGTCCTCCGAGACCACCTCGCAGAGCACGTACCTGCGGGACAGCGCGGGGTGAGCGGCGGGGCCGGCCGGACACGGCAGCGGCGCCGCCCGCCCGCCTCACCTGTTCTTGAAGCGCACCATGGCGGCGGCGGCGGCGCGCGGCACGGACGGACAGCGCGCCCGGCCAATGGGGAGGCGCCTCCGCGCGCTGTAGCCAATGGGCGACGTGCGGGGGCGGGGACAAGGGGAGGACAGCGCGGCCCCCGCCGCCGGGGCGGCCCCGCCTCCCTGCGCGGACCGCGCGTGCGCGGTGTGCCCCGGGCCGGCGGCGGGGCGCCGAGTCAGAGTCGCTTCGGTCGGAACGGACCGGGGGTCATCGTGCCCGTGCTATGACCAGTCGCCACACCACATCCGGTCTTTCCTTAAACACCTCCAGGGACGGTGACTCCATCACTCGGGGTAGCCCATTCCAATGTCTGATCACCCTTTCTGTGAAGTTCTTCCTCATGACCAACCTAAAATTCCCTTGGTGCAGCTTAACACTGTGTCCTCTTGTCCTGTCGTTTATTGTCTGGGGGAAAAGCCCGATCTCTACCTGACTCCAGTTCCTTTTCATGTACTTGTAGAGAGCGATAAGGTCCCTCCTGAGCCTCTGCCGGGCCAAACACCTCAAACTTCCTGAGCCGCTCTTCACAAGGACGTACGCTCCAGACCCTTTCCCATCTCCGCTGCCCTCCTCTGGACCCACTGCACTGTTAGCGGAGGAAATCCTGCCACGTTCTGTCTGGAGTACTGGACAGAGCACTTGTGGGGCGGGCTCGGCAGTGCCGAGTCCCGGGGCGATGTTTCGCGGCTCCCGCTGCCCGCACCATTCCCGCACACGCCGGCTCCCGTTGGTCCCGCCCTCCGCCAGGGGGCGCGCGCGGCGCGCGGGCCGGCCTGAGGGGGCGGCTGAGGGGGCGGCGGGAGCGCGGCGTCTGCCGAAGGTCAGCCGCTTCGCCTTTAGTCCCTTTCGCTGCCTTGCACCCACCCACCCTGGCCAAGCCCTCCTTTCTTGTCCCTAAAAAGTCTAAATTAAGAAGACGGGGCGTCTCCGTGTGGTGGGAGCCGCGGGAGGTCCGGAGGTGGCGGGCGAGTACCGGCCCCTCCAAGGCTTCAGCGGAGCGTTCGGAGCCCCCCGGTGCTCCTGGAAGGGCTCTGCCTTTGCTACCTCGGAAAACTGCTCCAGTCTTTGTAGCTCCTCAGGTATTGGGGGTCTGGGGACATGTGCTAATTAATGACAACAGCTAAGGAAATTGTTGAACAGAGCTACTTATAATTATTTCTGTAGTGATGTTCCAAACTGTGATGTGTGACACTGTCGAGGAAGCAGGGAGGGCTCTTTGAAAAGATCTGGTAGGAGAATTAACTGAGGAGAAGGGAATGAGTGGATTAAGGGAAAAGGTGTGAGGTAGATATCTGAATATGAGATGGGAGAAAGAATTTAACCGAGGTTCTTGGAGCCAAGTCACATCGGAGTGCTGAGACAGTATAGATTAAGTGGGAACTCATTGCTAATTCAGAGTGGAAACATCTTTAATGACCTTCATTCTAGACACAGAAAACAATGATAAACCCAGTGGAAATCCTGTCCTGGGTGATAAACTTCTGGCCTCTGAAACACATGCCTGTTCTGCTGCTCTCACCCCTTGGCTATTAACTCTTCTCCTTTACCTGTGATCACGTTTTCAAGTCGTGCTTTTTTCTAAGAACTGCAATATGAGTTGCCTGGGGAGAAAAAAGCATGAAGCCCAGTATGGACTTCTAAGAGACCTTTTCTCTTGGGCCATGATCAAAGGGACTGGGCGCAGTTTTGAAGCTAATGCAGACAGAAGCATTTTCTCTATGAGAGAACTGCATTGCATTGATCTTTGCCATATTGCTCTGTGTTTTAGTATTCAAATGGGGATCTAACTGTAATCTGTTCCACTTGTGAATACCATGAGCTCCTAGGTGATAAGCTAGTCTCACATTTTGGAGCAATATTAAAGTCCATGAAGATTCCCATTGATTTTTTTTTTTTTTTTTGTGGAGTGAGGTTCCAGCTCAGGCTTACAGTGTGCCTGCCAGGTATGTTTCCCTGCTGCTCCTGTGTTTGTGGTGGCATCCCACATCCTGCCTTCTGACAGGGCTCGGATTGCCCTGTGCTGCTCAGGTTGCTTTTATCCATCCCCTCCTTTATTTCCTTCTTGCAGAGGCACGCTGGGCTCTGACAAGCAGAGCATGTGAGTGCACTCTGCCCTGTAATCCAATAGGACGTGTGCACTGTGCATGCTACAGGCTGGGCCCTGTGTGCAGCACAGGCCTCTGTTTTCGGTCCAGAAGGCTGATTAGGAGAGACATGGTGCAGAGAGCAGTGTTGTGAGACAGCCCCATGCTGCTTCGTTTCACGTTGGGTATTGCCTTAGCTCCCTGGTGCTGGTTTGGAGGATGCACAGAGCAGACCTGAGTCACCACAGCTCCCTGCACAGTCACTGTGTTAGTACAAGGTGTGCAAGTCCAGTCAGGCATCCTGGGGTGCTGAGCTGACAGCACAGGACTAAAAGGTTACAACATCTTCAAGTTTGTTTTCCCATCTCCTCACTCTCATCCTCTGCCAGCTCTGCTGTATGGATTCCAGTGTCAGGGATTCAAGAAACTATTGCAAGTGATGGTGAGTTATACACTCAAGGTGGGAAAGAACTGTCTCCTAAGAATAGATCTGAGAGAGAAAAAAATAAGAAAATACTATTTAAATTGAATAATGGGTCAAGAGACCTGCCAAGAGAGAGGATGGATGTATCTCCTACAGACTGGGAGAGACAATGTGGCCTTGGATATCTTATCAAATAGAGGTTATGGAGGATAGAGCATGCAAGGACAGGGGGAAATAACATGCACTATCTATACACATTAGACACAATTTATAAAGCAGTTTGAGAACCTTAGATAGAAGATTCTCCATCACTGTAAATGTTCATCAGTGATTGTCCAATAAAGTGGTGGTGCTAGGGAGGTGCAGGAGGAATACTGAGGTCTCGTTTTCCCAACTTCCGTTTGTTATTTGTGGTGGTGTGCCTGCAGAGGATCTAGTACCAATCAGTCTGGGTTGGGTTTATTACCATTTTAGTTCATTATTCGACATTTTACTACAGGCTTGAAGGTCTAGACCCTCACTTTGGATTTACATGCCATCTGTATCTCCAGGTTGCAGGTCAGAATACATTTGTATGGAATAGACTGCAATAGACTGTGATGAATGCTTGTTGTCTTGTGTGCAGCCAGCTCCTAGGGTTTGTATGTATTTGCTGTAATTAAAATTACTAGTAAATGTATTCAATAACACACACACACACACACACACATTTTAGTGAATCCTTGTACTCTTTTTGGATAGAATGCATCCATTTTATAGATGAGGAAGCTAAGGTACAGGGGGAGTAAGCAGGTTCTTCATGGTAAATAGCTGTCAGTCTGGTGATAGAGATCAAGGACATAAAGTGAATGGAAAGGACTGGCATATCAGCACATACTGTGTTGGAGTATAGGTCTGGTATGTTGCTTGTGCATGAAGTAGCCGAGTAATTACATTCTGGAGTAAATTAGGATGCATTGTGATACTCTGTCCTTGTGATACCACAATTATATCTTCCCTGTGTAGCCAAAATAATGATTTTTGCTTCTCCCTGGAAGCACAGAACTAAATTTGCCATCAGGTGTGGTAGCAGAGTTGGGGGAGACAACTACATTTTGTTCCACTGTATGCACATTGCATCCCCAGATAACCTCAGCGCTGAAAATACAAAACAATCTGGCTAAAATTAAAACTGCTTCTTAAATCCTGTCTGATGTTGCCTGAAGCCTTTTGTTCAGTTTATCTTCACAAGGTCACTGAGACAGAAGAGTGCATTCTGTGAGCATGCTGGCCTGGAGCTTTTCATGCAGATCCTTTCATTTAACATTTGGGACATTCCCCTTCTCCCTTAGGTCTCTTCATTTGTACTCTCCCTCATTTTCTATCTCTCTGCTCCTCACTTTTGAGTTCAGGTTCCCTCAGATCAATACACTTAAAACTAAAAGCTATCCCTTTTATTATCACCCTAACCTGTAATCATTAATCATAAGCTTTCTGTACACCCAATCTGTCATGCGTCGGAGACTGCTGGTCTGTCAGAGCTGCCACATGAGCTGCCCTGTGTGCTGCCTGCAGCACTGCCCTTGTCTTTGCTGTCATCCTGCCACGTGGAGTAATTGTCTTGCAAAACCACGTGTTTGAAGCAAATTCTCTTGCAGCTTCTTTCAGTGCTGGCAGTGTGATCTTGGGCTACTTGCTTAAGTTCAAAATACTAAATTCACATTTCTTTGGTTTTTTTAATAGTCAAGAACAAGATGTGCTCTGAGAGACATCCAATGTGTTTATAAGGTGAGCTTCCATTAAGATATTGGAAATTGGAAGCCACATTGAATATTGAAGCCAAATATTAAGATCTGATAAAGGGCATTAAGTGTCTGTGAGTTTGGCATGTGCTGTCTAGCATGAACACAGCTTCAGGAGTCTGCGTGTGCAGCAAAAACCAGTGTGAGGGAAGAGCACTACAAAAAGGTGATGTGTCAAGTGAGAAGCTGAACCTAGAATTCTGAGTTTCATTTTCTCCAGCTCTGCAATGGGGATAATTGTAAATACCTTATTCATAGATATATGTCAAAAATTAGTAAACTGTCCACTTGAATGTTGCTATTTATCAAATATGGTAACACTGCTGCTCTATAGGAGAGATCTGTAGGCAGCACACTTCATTTGCAGCAAGCTGCTGCAAAAAGCTAACAGCTGCTTCCATACTAGTTAATTAAATTAATCAAGAACTAGAATATTAGTTTAGATAGTTCAGGATTCTTTTCTGTTTCCTTTCTATATTAGGGAACACATAACTCAACTGTGAACCAGATAACTTACTATGTAATCTGCTGTGCAAAACCCCCATATTTAATACCTCCTTAACGGGGATGTTAAGATGGATTAATTATTCTTTGTTCTGGTCTCTGAAGATAAAGGGTAATTACTATTAATTATGTGTAATTGAAAAATTGCTCCTTCACAAAGACTCCAGTAGCATTAGCAGGATTTTAACTTTTTGCTGCCTATAGGGAGTCTTACAACATTCCAT